GCTTGTAAACATCTGAACTTGTAGCATATCCTCATGAAACTTAAATTTGCAGACATTGCCCTTATTGGTGGTTTAGTATTTGAGTTTTGAAACCAAAGGTCATTTGCTTTATATTAATTTTATCATTTGGAGGCTCAGTTTATCCTTTCCACTTACAGTAAGGTTTCTTTTTTTTTCTTTTTATGAATCTAAAAATTCTCCAGTATCTAGCCATTCCTATTAGTAGTGGAACTACAAATGACACTGTCACTTCATGTGCCACTTTGGGGAATACCAAGGCAATCTTGATACTACCTAGCTCTATGATTAATATGTCTTCATTCCTTTATCTTGACCATCAAACTGATCTTGAACATTTATTGTCAAATGATATATTAAAATCATGACACTATGAAGCCCAAAGGATGGTAGTAACAGTTTACTAGTAACAATAAGGAATAGACTAAATATGTACATTAATAAAAAGTAGAACTGAGCTGGGTGTGGTGGCTCATCCCTTTAATCCCAGCATTTAGGATGCAGAGGCATGAGGATCTCTGTGAGTTCAAGAAGAGCCTGGTCTACATAGGGAGTTCCAAGTCAGTCAGGGCTACATAGGGAGACCATGTCTCAAACAAATGAACAAACACAAACAAACAAACAAAACTGTAGACCTGAGTTTCAGGCCTTGTGCAAACTCATGTTTACAGAGGTCTCAATCTGCTATTACGACAATTGGTGTCTCCAGGTAGCTTGAAGAGGAAGGTCTCTCTGCTCAATTCAGATAAACTAAAACTGTGAGTGGGGTTTCCAGACTGTTTAGGGGACTAGGGAGAATAGCAGTGTCCTTAAAAAACACTGTGGCTGTCTACGTTTTAAAATCCACTGGGTCCTATCAGTCTGTGGTTTGTGTGCTCCAGCTCTGGCAAACTCAAGATGGGATTGCATTGTGATTGGCTAGAGCATTCTGCACTTTGGAAAGGGAAACCCACTGACCCCTGACCACAGCCTTGTCGTACAAAGGGTGTCAGAGGTAGCCCAATTACCTAAGAGGACTGAGAAAAATCAAACAGAGGTGGGGCACATATAGGGGGAAAACATGCACAGCAGGCCCAGCATTAGAACTGAAGCTTAAATCACCACTCTGTCAATAGAAGGTGATAAATCAAGGGAGATATTTACTGATTAAAATTACAGACTCCTACGGGAAACTGTATAAACAGATTGAAGAACAAAGCCCACAGGGACTGAGCCCAGGCGAATCCATCCCAACTTTGGCCAGTTACTTCTCTTTCCAGCCAACTCTTGGACTCAGGGGTCACCAAGAGAGCAACTTGCTCCATAAAGCTCAGACTTGCTACCACGTATGGAATCATCAGGCAGTTAAACAACCGGGTAGAGACTCAGGATTCAGCTCCAGTCACAAGGGACTTATTTTTTTTACTCATCCCACATTTTACTCTCAAGTCTGACCGAGAGTCACCCGAAGGGGCTAGTCTTAGTCTGCCTGCTCTGCATATGTTGGCTGCCAGCAGAGGTTTTGAGCTTTTAGACGCTGAAGGCTGGTGAAGGAATCTCAGGTGGCCATTAAACTCACCCTTATAGAAGGCTGGCAACTCGTAATGATTGCCAGTTTGGCATGTTCATGTCACCATTCCCAAGCTTAACTCTTCTAGTCTGGCTTCTCCAAGTTTATTGCATGGCTACTATCATTTTGACTCTTAAGTTTTTCGTATTTATTTGTGTGTGTGTCCCCAGGTCACAGTTTGAATGTGGAGGTCGGAGGACAACTTGAAGGAGTCAGTTCTCCTTTCATTATGTGCATCCTGGGGATTGAACTTGGGTAACCAGGCTTGGAGCAGGCACCTTTACATGCTGCGTTACCACCCGGCAGGCCTTACTTCTTTCTAGCATTCTTGAATAACAGAAATGAGTGATCATATCAGTTACTTTTCTTATTGCTGGGACCCTCTGATCCAATGGAAACAACTCAAGGTGGGAGGATTTATTTGGGCTCATAGTTCAGAAGGCGAAGTCCACTATGGCAGGGAAGGTATGTTGGTGGGAGGCTGCAGGAGCCTGGGGCATGGCTTGCTCACATCTCAGAGGAACAGAAAACGGTGTTCTCGGTAGCAACAGGAAGCTGATATCTTCAAGATTCCCTCCTAGCAACTTCTTTCCACTAGCTAGTCCATAGTCTCAGAGGTTTCACAATCTGCCAAGACATTGCCACCAGTTGGGGGCCAAGAGTTCAAAACCATGAGTGTGTAAGGGTTATTTCACGTTAGTGGGTGTATATAACCAGAGTACAGTACATACTCACATGTATTAGAGTGTCATAATGACAGCTATTAATTTATATCATTAATATATACTAATAAGAAAGGAAAGACAAATGGATTTTGAAGTATCTGGGGGAAAAGGTCCCTTTGGGGTTGGGGAAGCAAGGGTGTCCTATTTGGCAGTGTCCCATGAATTACCTTTTGCCATTATTGGTTGAGCAAGTAGGACAATCACCCCAAATTCCTCTGATATGTTAAGGGGCAGCATGCGTTTCTGTGGGATGGACAAGGGAAACTTGCAGGGGGCTGTGCAGCATCATCTACGGTTCCATGACCTCAAAATGGTCTTTGGGTCAAGTTTCGCCCTGACATCCTGCAGTGCTTTTCTTTCCTTTCATTCCTCTGGCTGTGGCTGTGCAACACTCACTCAGATGGCAACAGGCAAAACCGTAGGACAAACGGGTTTCATGATAAACAGGGGCAGGGAGGATCATTTATGGGATGGCTGTCACAAGAGATGGGTGTTGGGGTTCCTGCGAGGTTGCCATGCATGGTGGGGCATTTTGTAGACCGTGTAAAGCTGCTGAGAGGCAACTGCGGACTGAAAGCAGTCAACATCCAAATGTGTGCACACACAGCCCAGGGGCCACCCAAGGCACAGGTGGCATTTTCTTCACATGCAGCTCAGGTGGCTTTGTCAGGCTAGAGTGAGGGTATGCGTCCTGTCCCTCTGGAGTCCGATGTCTGTTTTTTGTGGTGCTGATATATGGAGTGATCTGGATGAGTTCCATGCAATCCTGACTTTGTCCTTGGAGCTGGGTAAAAGAAGGGGCACAGAAGGCCTCAACAAGAGCATGTAGACTCGTGGTTCTCAACCTCTGAGGGTTGAATGACCCTTTTACCACTGGAAAACACACATATTTACATCACAATTCACAACAGTAGTAAATTACAGTCATGACGTATCATTGAAAATAATTGTATGTCTGGGTCACCACAACACGAGGAACTGTGTTAAAGGGTCACAAGCTTAGGAAGGTTGAGAACTGCTGCTGTAGATGCTCTGATTTTGCCTTTAAAGAGGTCGTAGTGACTGGTTGGTGTCTGTCTCATTACTCTGGCTTGCTTCCCTGTTCGTAGAGATCTTAAAGTTGAGTTATTATGAAGTATTGTCCTTTCATGTTTCTGGGTAAATTTTCTGTCTAGAGGTGGTGGAACTGACAAGGCAGACATCACATGTTTTCAGTTCTAGAAAATTCTGAACTATCCTTTCACTATTTTTTTTAAAGGAAGTTGTGTTCAGAGATGCTGAGCTTGGCTCTTCTGACCTTCAGAACTTCCTCTAGACTGGATTCCAGGGTATGTTTCTGACTGGATGGCATTGGCTGGCTTTCTCCAGCCAAGGAGGCCGAGTTTGTTTTGTTTTTTGTGGCAGTCCACAGTCCACGGAGCACTTCAATCTTGTGTTGTTGCTCTGTGGCTCTTCAGTACGGTGACCTGGAACCCTTTAAATGGGAAGCAGTTGTGGAATTGGCAGCAAATTTGAACTTCTGCCGAAGCACGAGTCCATAGGGAGCTGGGCCTTGGGGATGAGCCATGTGTCTGGGAAGAGGCCTGGTTTGTGTCCTTGGTCTTGACCACGCCAGTCCTCAGGTCTTTGCTTCCTGTCTTCCCCAGTGGAACGGAGATTCCTTAAGATGTGGCCAAGCTTTCCTTCAGCCTTGACATGTGCCTTGTTCCATCTGAGGCTGGAGAGTTTTCCATGTGCTGAGTGACGTTTTTTCACAGTCTCCACCGTCAGGTCAGGCAAAGAAGCAGAGGCCTAAACATCCATTTTCAGAGTGACCAAGGGTCAACACCTTGGCAGTGAGAAGCAGCATCCATGTAGCTACCAATAGGACCTTCACAGATGACAGGAATCCATGCTTGGAAAGCTAAGCACAACTTTAATAGCTAAGCTCTGCCCTTTTGCTGTCCCCTGCATGGAAACACTAATAATAAAATTAAGAGTTGAGGATGAACCAGTAAAACTCCTTTCTGTTTATGGCCTGCATTCTTTGAAACCAAGAGGTACCCCGCTACTCCTCAAGGCAGGAGTTTAGTCAAATGGGCTTGGTCAGAGAGTAGAGCAGGAGCTGACTCTATAGGGGTGGGGTGGGAGAGGGTAGGGGCTAAGCCTATAGTAGAGATGATTTTCCTAAGAAAAGTTTTCCTACAGATACTTTTGTTAGCATTCAAGGGTGGAGTTTCTTCTTGTCCTTCTGGAACATTCTAAACTATCTAGTATCTCTAATTAAAATATGAAATCCACTTGTGAGCACGAGGAAGCAAGAGGATTTAGTATCTGTGAAGTTATTCTTGGGAGAAAAGGACTTTAAACTTAAATCTAAAAAAAAAAATACTGTATCTCCTTCCTTAATCAAATTCAACAAGTTACGCTGACAAGCATTGATTGATTATCTCCTACCTGTCGTAGCGGGAAACAGAGTTGGCAAGCTTGGAGAATTTACACCAAACATTGTAGGCAGCACTAGCTGAGGCACTGGGGCTGGCCCTGACAGTGAATTTTTATAAGGGATGACTTGTAGGCAATTCTCTAGTTTCCCGATAAAGTTTTCTTTCCTTTTTTAGTTTAGAAAATCACTCAACTGTTGAATATTTTGCTAATCAGAGGATTTGTCCTTGTCCTCACGAAGAAGAAAGCTTTTAACACAGGCTCCTTTTTGATGTTTCATGCAGGCTATGTTTTAAAACGCTGGCCATTTCCTCTACTGATAAGCTGCTACATTTCAAAAAAACAAAACCAAAAACCATAGTGGCTGGAAAGCTGGCGCAGGAGGTAAGAGTGCATTCTGCACAGGCGTCAAGACTTGCATTCCAATCCCCAGCACCCACATAAAAAGCTAGATATGAGGCAGGGGGATTACCAGAACTGGCTGGTTGTCAGCCAAGCTCCAGGCTCAGTGAGAGAACTAGTTTCAAGGGTGTAAGGGGTAGAGCAATAGCACAGTATACCAGGCATCACACACACACACACACACACACTCACACACTCCACATACACACACTCACACATACGTACACACTCACACACTCCACATAAACACACTCACACACACACTCAAACATACACACACTCACATACACTCACACACACTCACACACTCCACATACACACACACTCACACACACTCACACACACACTCCACACACACACACCACATTCTACCCACTGTTTCTACCCTCATTTGAAAGCCAGAGCAAGAGAAACAATGTCCACTATTTTATCTCCAAGCCTTTACTAAGCAGATATGAAATGGAAACTCAGACATGGCCACACAGTTTCTATCTGTAGCACTCCACCCTCCATTCCCAGCCATGTCTCTAATAGAAATGGATACACACATTGGAAAGTGGACACCATTTCAGGTCTCAGAAGTTCTGTGGGAACGAATGTGCTCTCAGCTCTTAGGCCTGCAAGGCTGACCCCTTCCAGATCTTTTCATGGTTTGGAAAGACCTGAGAAACAAATCAAATCAAATCAGGCCTCAAGCAGCACATTTGGGAAAGATGTAGAGGAAGGGACAATTGTGTGTGAAAATTACACACTCAGCAGGAAACATATTTGTCTCAAAACATTAGATGAGAAAGTTCTCTGAGTGACAGCATTTCTTTCTTTCTTGCCTTCATTTCTAGTTCATTCTTATCTAACTCCTGTCAGCTCTCAAACTGACATTTCCCTGTTCTGATCTTTTCTCAGATAGTAAAGAGGGATGTTTCCCCCATTGGCTTGATACAAATAGCAGTTCAGCCGACAGAGAAGCATCAGGGACAGTTTGGAGTCCTAATCCCTGACCCTCTGCCCTCTCCTAACTAGCTATTGACACTGAACTTAAAAAAAGCTTGCCATGCTAGGATGAGATAATATTTTAGAGGCGAGAGAAAAGGACTGTGATTGGGAGTGTGGGGACTGGGAAGGGCCGAAGTGGGGGAGCGTGTGGGATGGAAAGGGCTGAGGTGGGGAGTGGGGGGACTGGAAATGGCTGAGGTGGGGAGTGGGGGGACTGGAAAGGGCTGAGGTGGGGAGTGGGGGGACTGGAAATGGCTGAGGTGGGGAGTGCGGGGACTGGAAATGGCTGAGGTGGGGAGTGGGGGGACTGGAAATGGCTGAGGTGGGGAGTGGGGGGACTGGAAATGGCTGAGGTGGGGAGTGCGGGGACTGGAAAGGCCTGAGGTGGGGAGTGGGGGGACTGGAAATGGCTGAGGTGGGGAGTGGGGGGACTGGAAAGGCCTGAGGTGGGGAGTGGGGGGACTGGAAATGGCTGAGGTGGGGAGTGGGGGGACTGGAAAGGCCTGAGGTGGGGAGTGGGGGGACTGAGGCTTCAGAACAGTGTGATGCTGGCCCAAGTGTCAAACCTCAGGCTTTTAAAAGTACAGCTTTGCTTATATGATCTATCAAAGACAAAAGGTCTCAGCTGGATGTGGTGGCTTATACCCATCATTCCAGTGCTCAGAAAGTTGAGGCAGGAGGATGTTGAGTTTGAGGCCAGCCTGGGATGCTTAGTGAGAGTCTGTCTCAAAACAATGACATCAACAACAGCAGTGTCAAAACAGATCTCATCTTCTAGACCAGAATTGGGTAGGTGGTCCTATTTAGATGTAGTTATTTGTCCTTTTTGGTTGTGATGTTTTTATGTTTCATGGTGCCACTTTGTCCATGTGATGTGTGTGTGTGTGTGTGTGTGTGTGTGTCCATGCAGTTAGAGGCTAGAGTTAACCTTTTATTCTTCAGGATCTGTCCATTCTCTTTTTTTTTTTTTTTTTTTTTTTTTTTTTGAGACAGGGTCTGTCACTGGCCTGGAACTCTCCATGAAGACTATGTTTGCTGGCCACTGAGTCCCAGAGATGTATGGATTTCTGCCTGGTCAGCTCTGAGATGACAAGCACACATTACCACTATGGCTTACAACAAAGCAAAACAACAGCAAAAATCATGAGTTCTGGGGATCCAACTCAGGTCCTCACGCTCATGGTGAAAGAATTTTACTAAATTGCCTATCCCACCAGCTTCCAGATTTGGAATTTTTAAACAGGACTGCATGAAGCAACTCTTCCCATTACATAAAAATGGAAAAGGAAAAAGATGATTGTCAGTCATATTCCCTGTTTGTCCTGGGTTGCAGCTCTCTCTAACTCCTGTTTAGTCTCAGGTAGGCCCTCCCACCTGAAACCCTGGCGCTAACTCGGTTCCCCTCTCACTGGCTCAGAGAGAAAGAACAGAGGTTCCTAAGGAAACCTGCATCATGCTGTTGGGAAGATGCCTGCATTTGTTCTCATATCATTTGGTACTGTGTGTTCTGAAATAAACCCCGACATCTCTGAACATATTTCCTCCATTTTGATGCTGTGTACAATCAGAAGTTGTCTAGTTAACTGCCAATTGAGGTAGAAGGGAACACGAAGAATGAGGGGAGGATATGGACCTGGAAGGTAAGATTTATTTAGTTTCAAAATAAATTCTGAAACACCTGTATTCTGTCTTTCTTCCTAATGGCAATTTACTTACAGAGAGTCCACTGTCTAGATACTTCCAGAAGGCAGTATGCTATAATGTTTAGCAGAAAAGGGGTAAAAGTCATTCTTGGATGTCTCTACCTTCTAGAAATTTCTATTTCCTTCTTGTATAAGCCTTGGGAAGTTCAAACTTTCCTCATTGTACCAAAGGCCAGTGAGTATCCTGGGGAATTCGAATCATATGATCATTGTTCACTGGGGTGGGCAGATAACACACTTTCTGTTTTTCCTGTGTTCACTGACTGGGAAAGTTGAAATGAGGGCTTACGTACCACTAACAAAAGGGTAACAGGGAACCAGCTTGCACTGGGTCCTAGGGAATGTTCTAGAAGACTTAATAGGCCCCTTTCTGTCTTTAATTTCCATGGCTCTACATATGTTAGCTGGGTATAAAGCAGCTGGTTGGTTTTCCAGGCAGGTTGGCTGGGTTTGAGAGTGTTCAGGGCAGGGGACTGGCTTCATGTAGCCATATCTCTGTGAATCACACTTGAGAAACTACTTGACTCCTGGGAGTGACCCTTCCATCTCTTCTTTTACTTCTGTGGCAAAGAGGGAAGGAATCATGAAGAGCAGCCTTGGGCTGTCCTTCAGAGTGCAGTAACCAAGTACTGTGGTCTCTAGGCCCTGGAACTCTTGCTGGCCTCCCTGGTACTGCATCAGGACAAGCAAAGGAGGCGTAGAAGGATGATAAGTGGCTCGCCACTGTCTTACACCTACTCTGAAATAAGCTTTCCCTGGAAGAGTCCCTTGTCTCCTCAGAAGAGGGGTGTCAAGGTCACGGCCAGACAAGAATCTAAGGTCAAGAGAATCCGACTTGCCCCCATAATGCTTCCTCAGGCCCCAGGAAGTAGCCGATATGCCCGTGAGGGTGTGATTTCATATTCCACAGCTGGCAAGTTCATTTGGGAAATGACCGTTTTGGGGGAAAACTGGCTGGTTTTCTGTTGGTAATTGTTCCCATTGGCTTCCCGCATGCCCCACTCCCACCATGACACAAGGAAACAATTATGGACAATAAAAAGAGACAAGGCTAAGTTTGGAGAGAGGGGAAGGGTCCTAGGGTTTCCAAGTTTTCTTTGCACTTATACATAGAGTGTTTTTCCCCCCCGGGTGTGGGAAATGTGAACAACTTCAGTTTTTCCATCCATAAAACAGAGATCTTAATTATTGTTTGCTTCACAGAAAATGCTAGAAGGATGAATTAGCTGAGATTCTTTTTTTTTTTTTTTTACAGAAATCTGGAGATGAACTGTATGTTGCAACTGTGAAGGATCTTTCAGGATGGTGACAGGTACCTAAGAAGGTGACTCAAGCATCTGAAACAGCTAGAAAAGATACTGTGATCCATGACATTCCAAGACTGATAAGGATGGTGTGTGTGGGTGGGGGGTCCTGTGTGTGGCTTTTGTGTGTATGTATGCATGTGTGTGTATGTGGTTTATGGACACATTCATGTGGGTAGGTGTGTGAAGGTCAGAGATCAACACCAGGCATCTTCTTCAGTCATTTTCCATTTTGTGTTTTGGGATGGGATCTCTCATTGAACATGGAGCTCATCAATTTGACTAGGCTGGCTAGCCAATGAGCTCCCAGGGTGCAACTGTCTGTCCTTCTTCCCCAGCACTGGGGTTACAGGTGCACACTGTAGCACTTTACTTTTATGCAGGTGCTGTTGGATCCAAACTCAGGTCCGAATGCTTGCAAGGCAGGCACTTTACCAAATGAGCCAGCTCCCCAGGCCTGGCACCATGTTTCGAGCCACTGTATCCATATGGACAGAGTCTGTTCCCAGCGAATCAAACCTCAAGGACGCTCGCAGAACGGTTGCTTCTGGAAGAGCAGGGTATTTTACGAAGGGCAGAACAGAGAGATGAGGAAGACACGGATGCAGAAATTACCAAGGAAGGTTGTGTTCGGGGGTTTGTCTGTCTATTTATTTTGTCAACTTGATACAAGCTGGGGTCATCTGGAAAGACGCAACCTCAACTGAGAAAATGCCTCAATCAGATTGCGCTGTGGGCAGTTTCCTTGATTAGTGATCGATGTGGGAGGGCCCAGTCCACGGTGGGCAGTGACACCTGTGGGAAAGTGGCCCTGCATTGTATAAAGCTGAGCGAGCAGCGCTCCTCCACGGCCTCTGCTTCGGTTCCTACGTTCCTGTTTGAGTTCCTGCCCTGACTATCTTGATGGTGGACTATAAGCTATAAGATAAAATAAATAAGCCCTTTCCTCCCCAAATTGTGTTTGGCCGTGGTGTTTATGACCGTGATAGTACGCACCCTAGGACAAGCGTCACCCGCTTTTGCTGCCCACCGTCTAATCTGGAGGAATCGCTGACCAGAAGAAGCAGGCCAGTTTCTTGGAGCTCTGCTGCTAGTCCGCCATCCTCTAAAAGGAGAGTCGCTCTCATCTCCTTCCTCCTGCCTGGCAGATGCCTCTTCTCAGCCTACATGTCATAGTCAGAGGTGCGAGTGAGACAGGACTACCCCCACCCCCTTCTTCTGCTAAAGCAGTTTCATCAGGATTCCACAAGCTTCCTATGTAACTCCTCTTAAAAATCTGAAAATGAAACAAGACATATTTCTGAGGTTGTCAGCAGGTAGATCCACTGGCTTGTGGTAAGTACTCTCTCTGGGAGGAGCGCTCGGCTCTGATGTCTGTGTTGAATGTTCCGTGGCTTCCCCTTGGCCGCCTGTGTGTAGGTCTGTTCACTGGGCAGGGGTGGTGGTGATGATATTGCTTCTAACAACCCGACTGAAGCATAGCCTCAGGCTGTCTTGCAAAGCCCCCTCCAAACAGCGTCTAATTAATTTTTATCCTGCCATCCCAATGAGTCCCGGGAGTGTACCAGCACCACAACAAAACCCCCTCATCTAGTGGTTTGGAGAAAGCTTTGACGTAACACTTGTGTGCCTTAGATCTCCAAAAGAGAAACCGCTGCAGAAAAAAAAAATTAAGAAATCTGTCTCCTTTTAGTCTTCTCCACCCTACTTGATATTTTTTCCCCCCTGACTTCCCTTTTTTTTCTCCTCAGTGATCATTAGTCTGATCTTTCTTGGACTCCCTCCTGCCCGTGGCGCTTTCAGAGAGAACCCTGGAGCTACATAGTTTTGCTGTGGGAGAACCCCCATGTTCTGTGGAGTCTGGGGCTAGGTAACAGGATGGGGCTAGCCTGAGAACCTCAGCAGGTTTAAAAGGCAGGAGAGGGAGCAGGCGGCTGGCTTGTCTGGCTTTCATCTGCAGTGTGGCCAGGTACCCTGGAAGCAAGGGAAAGGTCTGGAAACGAGGTCTCTTACTCACCCATCCCATCAAAGCTGCAGTATTCCAGGACCACACCCCCTTCCCTGGAATTGTTCCTAGAAGAGGCTCAGTCTCATTGTCCAGCTGTCAGTGACAAGTAGTCCAAGCAACACCCCTAGAGGCCACCATTCAGGTTTCTTTCCTTCTCAACTCAAGGGAGTTGGAGTTGGGGCAGGGGCTTCCGCACTGGCACTGACACTGGCCTGCTCCTTTCTCTGAAGCTCCAGGCATCCCCCTCCCAAAGCTCAGATTCCCGTGATCAGTTCCCAAATACCATATCCCCCTCCCCTTATTTCCCATTGCCAGCCCTCTTCACCCATCCGGGCTGCTTGTCTTTGGACCTTGGAATGAATTAAAGTGAGAAAAAAGTGACTGTTGAACAAGGTATCCAGAGGTACTAAAATCTAAACCAGCAGTGGACCTGTGCTTTCTGGGGTTTCAGGACCAAAAGATTGACTGTTCTCAAGAACCCAGCAGAAGAGGCTGATCTACTACCAGCAGCCTCTTGGGTGTTAATTTCACCATCACTGGGTGCCAAAGACATTCACTTGGGACCACTTGACTCAACACCTCCTGAGAAATGGGGTCATTGTTCCTAATGAGCTCGAGCAGTCTGGCTCCTTGAAATGAGTTAATCACAGAATTGCAGGCCTAGAAAAGATGTCTTTGATGGCTAGCTTCTCTGTACCCAGTCCAAAGAGTGAGAACCAATCCTAGTTTTGAAGACGCCCATGGAGCCCCACTCCAGTGACTAATCACTTGTAATTGTCCTCTTTCATTTTATCCTCATGCACTGGTACTTTCAAGGGCAGATTTCCGCTGGCACCCTCCTCAGAGAAGGTAAAAGGCTTGCTTACTAACCAGGCTATTCATCATCATCTTCTCTTCCTCCTCTTTTCTCTGTCTACTGGGCTTTTAGTGTGGTCCAGTGACCAAAAGGAGATCCAGTCTGGAGTCTGGATTCTATTATTTAACAACTATACTATTAAGTTTATATTTCCCTGCCTCTATGATCTAGAAATCAAAAGATTTCCTCTGTAAATGAATGTGGAACAGACCCCCCCATCCCCTCTCTGTATCTCATATAGCTAAGGTTGGACTTGAACTCACAATTTAGCTGAAAATGACCTTGAACTTCTGATCCTCTTACCTCTACCTCCTAAGTGATGGGATTATAAGCACACACTACTACGCTCAGGTTATGTGGGGATCTAACCAAGAGGTTTGTGCATGCTAGGTCAGTACTCTATCCACTGAGCTCATTCCCAGGCCAGTCTTCTTTCTTTAATGCTAGGTGATACAAACGTATTCAAAGAGCAGTGAGAATACATTGTCCCAGGAGCCCAGAGAGACATGAGTGCTACACATAGTTGCTGTAAGCCAGTCCTATAACCTTCACTTGGCTCATCAAGTCAAGGACAATGAGTTCAAGCCTGAGTTGAGTCCCAAGGATCCACTTGGTAGACTCCTGTAAGTTGTTCTCTGATCTTCAGACATGTATTATGGTACATGTACCCACACTCCCCAGATACATGCAAATATAAATAAATATAATTAAAAATAAAATTAAGAATAGTGTCATGGTACATGACAAATACCCAATAAATGTTGAATATAATTATTATTAATCAATCTTTTCCTGGTCCATGCAACAGGAGAGTCTGATCAAAAGACACACTATTTAGTTAAAAAAGATACCACTATGTCATTTCCCAGTGAGCTCCTAAATTTCTAGGAACTGAAGTTTGTTGGAAGAAGTAACAAAATGTTACGGACTTTCTGCAGAAAGGTTAGCACAGACTCCCAAATTATACATATGTTTTCTACTTATTCATGGAATTGTCATTAATAAGGAGCTTCTATTTTGTTTTCTTGTTTATGAGATCATCAGGACCAGCCAAATGCAGTTTTGGAGTCAGTAAAGATAAGTAATTGATCATAAAATCTTATTAATAGCTAATGTCTCCAAAGGAAAGAAAATGTATGGTATAAGTGAAGAAAAGCCAGACTAAATATTTAGTTTTAATTACGATCCTGTGTATGTGATATGTGGTGATATGTGTATGGGCACACATGCCAGGCTGTGTATGTTCACTGAACAACATTCAAGAGTCGGTTCTTTCCTTCCAATGTGGGTTCTAGGGACTGAACTCAAGTCTTCAGGCTTGATGGTAAGCACCTTTACTTGCTGAGCCATCTCACCAACCCTAAACTGGACCATTTAAACCTCTATTCCTAGAGTAGTGTGCCTTGACGTATGCCACAGCAGTTAATGAAAAAAGGCATCACATTTTCACTTATTGATTTGTGTGCGTATGCATAAATTCTTGAGTGGAGGACAGATTTTTGGAGTTGGTTCTCCCCTTCCTCTATGCAGGTCCTGGTGCTTGAATTTGGGTTTTCAGGATTGAGAGCAAGTACCTCTACCATTAGATCCCTCTCAAGGTCCCCAGTCCACATTGCCCTTCCTGGAAGGAATTTTCTCTTTGCTTCCATGACAACTACCAACAGCCAAGCTTCGTGTGGTGAAGCATCCCTGATTCTGAAAGTCAAAGTCATGAACCCCATTTGGCAGTGGACAGACACTTCCTTATTTCAAGTCATATGAAGACTTCTCATAGGTAGGTATGGTTTTTAAAGGTTAGAGTCTGGGAGATATTAAAAACATCCAGAGGCACCCTTCCACGTGATTAGTCACCCAATGACTTCATATCAGCTTGACAAGAGTTACAACTGGGCCGTGAGGGTTGAACTTTCAGGCATTTCAGCCTCCTGGTAGACCTACTTAGCAAATATCACCTTTTGTAAGTTTGTGATTTATTTCTCAACCTCAACACCATTGACTTTGAACATTTCATTTGCTATGTAGAAACCCCTTCTATCACCTTTCTATAAAACCCTTGTGAAGATGAAGAAGGGTAGGCACCCCTGTGTTTTCTGTCAGAGACCAGTAACCCTCAGGAAAAAAAAACAAACACAACCCTGTCAACCCAACAGACAATCAATCATCAGGGGGGTCTTCAGAAACTAAGAACCAGGAATATAAACGCTACACAATCTAGTCCAGCTTCTCTGTAGGAGCATGTGTCTGGGGCTAGAGAGCAACCTCTGTTGCCACTCCTCGGGCTATCTACCTTGTTTATTGCAACAGGGACGCAGTCTTGCTAGCCAGAGAACTCCAGGTATCTGCCTATCCCTACCTCCTTCCAGTGTTGGGATTCTAAGCAAGTACCACCATGCCAAGCTTTGTGGGTTCTGGGGATTGAGCTTGGGTCCTTGTGCGGCAAGCACTTTACCATTCCTGTTTGGTTTGTTTTCACTTGTGCTCAGTTAAAAGGGAAAGAGAAAGGAAGATGGGGATAGAGACCATGACATCAAAGGGAGGAAAGTCATGGATGACAAAAGAGCATTCTGGGTAAGGCGGTTACACGAACGGCAAGGACAGAGAAAATAATGTGCATTTTCTATTTACTCTTTGTACCTATATGTCTTTGGATCTCCCTCATCGCTTAATATACGCTAGGTACTCAATAAATCAACGGGACAGCAACAAGGAGAATACATACCATTGTCACAGGCTTTGGAATGAATGTGTGACACAGAGATTTCATATTGGCTATGATCTTGCCATCACCAATGATCATTTCTTTCCCCCCGGGATTCCCTTCCCACCTCCACACCCATTTAAACTTAAATGCCATTTGCAGATCTCCATCACCTCTGAGCCTCTGAAGCCCTACCCCAAATGAGGCAACTAGTGTTTCCAGCTTGAGGTGGGTGTGGGGAGGATCATCCTTGAGTCTGTACTGTGAGTAAGCAGAGTCATAGGCCCAGTCTCCCACCCTGACTCTGGATTGTGACTGAGCCTGATGATCGCTTACTGGGAGATTAACAGATAGCTACTAACATTTCTTCTCTG